TAAAATATTTTGTATGTACCACTCTGACACATTCTGGCACATTCGGATTATAGATTCCTCAACAGTCGACTCTGCTTGATCTGTGTCCGAGTCTGTGTCAAATATGTAGGGTTGAATTGTGTTCCTCTCACTCATGATGACTCTTACTGTCTGCCTCTGTGACGCGGTGCACAAAGCAGACGCGCTCTTGGCTCCGCCCCCTTGTTACGTTGGGCGGGCAGTCAAAACTCATTATCATGTTAAACAACACACCCCAAAACAGCAACCCGTGTACACGCCTCTAAATTTACACTTTTTAACACAGCATAATAACAATATCTGAATTGCGTTTTGATCTGAACCTACATTGGCACACTCAGAAGAACCATAATATTACTATTAAATCTCAAAAAAGGGCTAAAATATGTGCCCTTTAACTCAAAAATATGTGCACAAACGCACAGCAAGGGATCTAGACTGTTTTCCACACTGAGGCCACTTGCAAAGTCATGGGAGGAAATTCAATTATGGACTATCTATCATCTTATTATTTACAATGCATTGCTTTCAGTGAACATGACCTAGAATGCAACAAATATTTTAAATTGTTTCTCAACAAGTTAACCGAACAAGTATTGTCAATAGAAGGGTTGGACTGATCTGTCAACTTACATTACAGCACACTGTCTGTTACAATGTTATGATCTGCTGGATCTGTAACAGAGTCTGGGAAATCCCTACAGGCTGCTTGTCTTTCAGAACAAGTTTGGTCATCATTTAACCTCAATTAGTCCATTACAAAAGCAAAGAGATTTTCCACTCCTCTTAAAATAGCTTTTTTTTCCATCATTCACAGCAAAAACAAGTTGCATGCCTCTAATATGTTACACTTTTTGAAACAGGAAGTACTTTACCATTAAATAGCCATATTTGTGCATATGCAGTCTGGAAGGCCATAAAAGGTTGGTGTATAAGACCATGTGTTTTTAAACCTCTTGAATAAATGAAGTGTTAATGCTCACAAATTTATTTAGCTTGCAGTTGCTCTTCTTTTTATAATTAACCCTGTTAAAACATATCACTGCATAATTGAAATTGATTTACAGCCGACAAAATTATCAAATCTTTGTCTTGGCATACCTGTGTTGAAAATAGTTAATAATTGCACGTTTAGTATTGCTCTGGCTCCAATGAGTTATTATTCCTTGAGGGCGTTTTGAAGATGAACGGTTTTAGTTTTGTTCAGTGATCACATGTGGCTGAGTCACAGGTATTGTAAGGTTTAACTGATATTATCATGTGAGACTTCAGACCACGTGATCTGTGTTGAGAGAGAGATGATACGGATAAATACAGATATTAGTAGTCATATTGCGGAAGGGAAAAGTAAGAGTCCTGATAGGAAATGAGCAATTGCAATGGATCGCAGGAGTCTGTAAAGATAATATTCATGTAGCAGGTGTTGATTTTCTTGTGAATTGGGTCCATACCAGCAAGCTTAGAATGTCTGACGCAATGTCACACCTGAGCGATTTATAATGTGAAATGTACATCTGCAAAGATAACAGCCCAGATATGCAAAGATTAATGCTTTGTTCATGGTCAGTGTAGACTTCATTTTATTTCTCCTAGCAACATCCACATAAGCATTTTAGATATAATCTAAGGTGGTCTAAATGATTAATTATTGTTTATTTTGTCAAAAGAAATTTTTTTTTTTCTGGTCTGTTTTTGTTAGTACATCCTGTCAAACCTGAATGGGATGGTTAGGGACTTATGCTGTAAAAGCAAGTGTGTTAAAAATACATCTTCATATCTTCAAAACCCGTCTCTCTATTGATGGTTATTTAAGCTTAGGCATGATTTCTCACAGAATGTTTTCCCTCCATGTAATGCATAAAAGTATTTCATTGAAAACATTAGATGATTTATCACTGTTCCGTTTTCAGTTGTGTTCTATTACAAACCTGACAGATCATTTATCTCCTTTTGCTAACTTTCATGTAGCAATTGAAATGTAGCATGTGAAATTGATTTAACATTGTGTGCTTTTTAGGTTGGTCCGTACAATGTGAAATATTTGTAAGCTAGTAGTTATGGAGTTAGCATAAACGATGGAAAAGGCTCCATCTGGAGGTTATGGGAGAGTTTTAGTGCAATATCACCTAGCTTTTACCAACATTGTTTATTGCTGATTAGACTTGAGAGATTAGTCTCAGACTACCTACAATATGTTCACTCTTTGGGTTGTACGGAAGACACAAGCCACGGAATGCAATTCAATGAAAACTAGTATTAAAACTGAAACATGTTGTGATTTATTATTACCATTAACAATAGACTGATCGATTGTAGCTTTGCTATTTGAGTTGCGATGAGAGAAATGCTTGAAAACATTTTTCTATTTTTTATTTCCTCTTTGTTGTGTTTTAAACGGTGGTTAAATCTTGTATCTATTTTCATGTTACTATTATTTATTAGATATTAGTGATAATTTATTACATACTAGTGACTGCTTTAGATGCTGCTGCTTTTTTAAAATGTACTAGTGCTTACTCATTAGACACTGGTTCTTTTTATTAGATTACTAGTGCACTCATTCATTAGATTCTAGTACCTATAGATACTAGTACTTATGTATTAGATACTAGTACTTATTCATTAGATACTAGTATCTATTTAGTACTTATTCATCATTATCATCACTTATTAAAAATATACTACTTATTTATTAGATACTAGTACTTATTTTAATAGTGACTAGTAACTATTCTGTTGTTACTAGTAACAAATGTAATATTTCTCTATTGATTTTTTTTATGGGATCTGCCATTGAGATATCAACTCTTCAGTTTTGACTAGCATGTATTTCAGCTGGGACTAGTACATATTTTTATGTACTAGTAGTTAATCAGGTACTTTATTAATTCGATACTAATACTTATTCATTAGATACTAGTATCTATTTAATAGGTACTAGTACTTCATAAGATACTACTATCTAAGAGATACTAGTACTTACTATCATTTATTATAATTTATACTAGTACTGATTATCATTTGTTTAGCGCCCTCTGGTGATTCATTTCAGACAGCGCTGTAAAAATGACAGCCAACAGAGGTCACCATAGCTTCATAACTAGACGAAAGATTTTTCCTGGCAAACAAACTTCCCTCATAAATAAAAGCAAAAATGTAGCCCCTGTTATTGGTTTATTTGTGTAATTTTCTTGAAGATGAAAATAAAGTAGGGCCGTAACCACCATCAACATTATTCGAGACGGCTCCAAATTGTCCCACTCCATCACAATTGTTGAAGTTCTTCCAGTGCTGCACTCATTCATTCATTTTCCTTACCCTTTATTCATCATCGCCACTGCGGAATGAACCGCCAACTTATCCAGCATATGTTTTACGCAGCGGATGCCCTTCCAGCTGCAACCCAATACAAATCCATACTTGCAATACAGCCAATTTATTAAGTTCACCTATACCGCATGTCTTTGGACTGTTGGGGAAACCAGAGCACCTGAAGGAAACCCGTGTAAACATGGGGAGAACATGCTCTACAAAGAAATCCAACTGCCCCAGCCAGGACTCAAACCAGCGACCTTCTTGCGACAGCTGAGCCACCGTGCCACCAGTGTCATTTATGCAATCATTATTATTCATGTGGAAATTTATTCATTGTTGTTTATAGCTGTCATTTTTTTCAATATAAGTATAGAATACAGATCTGTTTGTGTATTGATTTAAATGGGATTTATTATTATCATTAAAACATTATTATCATTTAATTCCTGAATGTAAGAAGACAAGCCTCATTTTGACTTATTAGACATACAAATAAGAGTGAATGTTTTTTTTTACATTTAAAATTCATAATTATTTTTAATATACATGTTGTTTTATTTTTATTTATTGTCTTTGTCTCTCCATTATAAGAGCAGTACTGATATAATAAAATACAGACAGTACCTCAATATAATACAGAAAATACTGGATTGTTTATTAATAGCATTAATTATTTACCATGAGTTTTAATTTTTTTTTTATTAATTTATTTAAACATATTATTATCATGAAAGTGCTGATTTTGAAGAGACAAAAAACATTCTGACATATTAGAGATACAAATTATAACACGTGTGCATATACTGTATTTACTCACTCACTTTTCTTTGGCTTAATCCCTGGTTTATCAGTGGTCTCTACAGCAGAATGAATGTCAATAATCTGCCATATGTTTTGTGGCAAATGCTCTTCCAGGCTCAACCCAGCACTGAGAGTACCCTATCTTGTGAACCCCCAGTGCCGGGAAACACCCATACACTCTCATTCACACAAACACTAATACACTATGACCAATTTAGTTTGTTTAATTCGCCTATAGCACATGTCTTTGGACTGTGGGGGGAAGCTGGAGCACTCGGATGAAATCTATGTAAACACAGAGAAAATGCAGATATATCAAATATTATTATTATAATTCATTCATTAATTTTCTTTTCGGCTTACTCCCTTTATTAATCCAGGGTCGCCAATGAACCGCCAATTTATCCAGCGCGTTTTTATGCAGCGAATGCCCTTCCAGTCGCAACCCATCGCTGGGAAAAATACACACACACTCATTCACACACTCATACACCATGGACAATTTAGCCTACCCAATTCACCTGTACCACTTGTCTTTGGACTGTGGGGGAAACCGGAGCACCTGGAGGAAACCGACGCGAACGTAGAGTGAACCTGGAAAACTACACACAGAAACGCCAACTGAGCCAAGGCTCGAACCAGCGACCTTCTTGCTGTGAGGCGACAGCATTAAGTACTGCCCCACTGTGTCGCCTATTATTATTATTATTATTATTATTATTATTATTATGGCATATATTTTGCATGTTATTTGTCAGATAGATAGATAGATAGATAGATAGATAGATAGATAGATAGATAGATAGATAGATAGATAGATAGATAGATAGATAGATATTTGTAAAAAAAGAGCAAACTTCTTGAAGTAAAGATAAATTGTTCAATTTATTAAAAAACAACAATAAAGCAGTAATAAAGCAGTAATAAAATAGCAACTTTGACAGGGTGTAAACATTAGCACCATTGTACAAAAAGTCTGTTCTGGCAATAAATTAAGAAGTCCGGTTTATGTGATCTTCCACTGATTTCATTCATCACTCATCCAGTGTTGTCCTCCCGTTCTCAAGTCAATGTGTTTTGGCTTATTAGAGTAACCACAAAGCAGCACTGTCAGTCCTGTGCAGATCCTCTGTGTGTGACTGTAACTGCGTCTGTGCAAATAACCAGTCCAGGGGGTCTTTAATGCCACAGTGTACCTGACTGCTGAACCTTAGAGTGGCTTCATCCAGACCAAGGGAAGCACGGCGGGGCTGCAGAGCCCGAGAAGCACTGCGTGGCATTGTGCTTGAACCCGCATGCTTTCCTGCCGATTTACGCCTTCTGGATATCCTCAAAGGGCCACAAGCAGGCTGTGCCAGTTCTTTATAAGAGTTTATATATTCCTCTAGTGACTGTGAGACATCCTCATGCGACTCTGTTATTGTCGGTAGAGGAGCCACAGACAAGAGTAATCTTCTGGGTTGCATCCTGCAGAAAGATGAGCAACATTTAGTCATCATCTAATACTTATTAACTTATCATAACTTATAAATGATCATAAATGTATTAGAGAATCAAGGCATTTTAGATTAAAAAAGAAGTCATTCAGTAAGTTAATTTACCTGTAGGACAAGCTTGCAGTGATTGTTGTGCAGAGGTTGTGTCAGAGTTTGGTTTGATCTGGTTTAGAGGCAGCTCACCTCCTTTTATACGCCACGGCAGTATAAGCTCCTGCTCATGGATCTAAAATTAGCTAAGCCCTGACCTTGCATGCCTGACAGGAAGTGTGTGTGTGCTGTTCGGAGAGTAGAGAGGAAGCTGCCCAATGAGACCCCGCCGCAGCTGCCTTGAATGTTTACATTGCTGTAACAATGAGGCCCTGGGAGCACTCGGCCCTCCACCTACATGACACTTGACAACACTCACTCAATATTACAACAGCTGCCAATGCCATTACATGCTTGTATTTTGGTCATAGGTATTTTGTTGGAGAGCAGGTCCTCAGAGATCCATCAGGGAAAAGTCTGGTGGACTGCATCTTTGACCTCGTGTCTCGCTTTATTGTGAGTGTGTTGAATGATTGCTTAGATAAAAAATCACAAGAATCTTTGCTTGAGTTTGAACTGAACAGTTACATAAAAACTAATTTTCTGTAAGGACTGAAATGAGATGCTGGCTCAAGTTGGAACATCTATAATCATGTAAATCTCTGACCATACTGTGGTTTTGTGTTTTGTTGAATTTAAGTGTCACCTCAGGTTTTGCAACTGTAATGATATGAATTACATTGTGTGTCAATTATGTTTTCTCTCTTCAGCTAAAATAACCAAGAAAATTGGTCATTAAATTAGGTTAAGAGCACATGCATACTAGGTTGACATAGTGTTAAAGCATCTGCTAGAACCAGCTATTTTTAGCAGCCATCTTGAATCAAGTGGTATAATCTCTGTGGTATATTTAGCTTTGTCAGATGCAGTACTCACTCAGGCAATATTGTTCTAGCCTGTAAACGGAAGAGACTTATCTACTTTGTTGACTTAGGGCTAATAGGATAGTGGCACGTTTCTCCCTGAAGAAATGTGCATGCAGTCTATCCATCCATCCATCCATTAAATTTTAATATAGGGCAAAAAAATGCCTTTTTTGCTGTACATTTTATTTAAGTAGCTTCTTTATGAAGATAATTGTTTTTTTAATGTTCTAAACTTAAAAAATATATATACATTTTCCACGAATTAAATGGTTTATGCTATAATGCACAGCTATAATGTGTTCAGAGCAGAAATTTCTAATATACTGAAAGGTATAATAAATATTCTGATGAGTGTTTTGAGCTGAAACTTTACAGACTCATTCTGGAGACACAAAAGACTTATCTTAAATCTTGAAAAAGAGGTAAAATAGGTGCCCTTTTAGTAAGTTTTCTGGCAATTGTGCTAAAAGTGTTTTTGTCTAGAATTTGCACAAGAATTTGCACCTAGTTTGCTGATCAAATCTTTTAAGTTAATTCTGACTGAATCTGTCAAACTCTTCACAGCTTTTAAATATTGTAATATTATAAAAATCATCACATAAGATATGATATATTTGTTATATTGTTAAGATTAAACTGGCGGATGGGAGACAAAAGTTACAAAGAAGCCTATAATGAAGGTAAAGTGTGATTTATTTGGCACAAAGTAAAAATAAAAATCCAGCAAAAACGTGAAAGTGACAAAATAATAATGAAGAAAAATATTTACTACTCCTTCAACTCCCCTACAACTAACAAAATATAAATTAATGGTAGTAAATAGGTATGCATACAAAAATCTAAATACAACACCATAAACAACCAATATAAACATATTGGTTTGTTTTTTAATAAATATCGTTTAAAGGAACATGTGTATGTGCTTATTTCAGTGTGTATAGAAAATGATATGGGATATTGCTTAAATTGGTTTTGAATTAAAATGGAACATAAACAGTAATAACCTTTAATTTTAGATAGTTAGCAGATTTTTATTTGAGCTAAACATCTAGTCAAAGCTGAAGACATTCTTGTGGACAAGTAGAGTTGAGTATCATCAACATAGCAATGAAATTGTATAATAGTGTTATTAACTCATTCCTAATAATTAATTTATTTTTTATTTGCCATGATGACAGTAAATAATATTTTACTAGATATTTTTCAAGACACTTCTATACAGGGTTAACTAGGTTAATTAGGTTAACTAGGTAGGTTAGGGTAATTAGGCAAATCATTGTATAACAGTGGTTTGTTCAGTAGACAATCTAAAAAAGTATATAGCTTAAAGGGGCTAATAATTTTAATATAATTTTAGTTTCCTAAAGTGTATGCATATTAGTGTATGTCACAGTGTATTACTTAATCTGATATAAATACAAATAAATACATTAATAGCAGACATCCATGCACATTCCTGAATTAATTATGACATGATGTATGCTTAATTGACAGATGACTTTATTACAGATTATTACCAAATCCAGTATTGAAGCGCATTACAAGTGCATTCAGCTATGCAAATCTGACATGCTATCATACTGTTGTGAAAACATACATTTTAAAATAAAAGTAGAACAAACATGAAATTATGTTTAACAGGCCACAGTTGACTCTTGTAGTGGAAAAATACATAACATTTTGGCTTGAGACTTATTTTTGTGGTATTGCATTGGCCAATTTGCTGACATTAGAACTTGGTTTAGAAATAAGATTAACAGGTTTTGGGTGAGCAAAATTTTACATACATGCAATAGAGTTGTGATGTTTTAGCAGATAGTTGTGACAACTGAATTGAAAGTTTACAGAATGTTATAAAGCTGTTTTGAAAACTGTAAAGATTTCTATAGGATACAGTGACCAAAGGCTGTATTAATGTTTGCTAAATATTAGCTTTTTCATCACTTAAATATATTAAGAAGTCATTTATTTTAAATTGTAATACGTTTTTCTGTATTTATATTAAGTGAATTCATCAGTTTGAATAAAAGATGCAAATATACTTCCTAAAGTGCTGACTTTAATAAAGCACTGAAAAGCATTTTTCATTTAACATCTAACAAATTTGAAAGATTTAATTTGTGTTTTCTTTACTAAATGAATTAACAGTTAATATTACTGAACTGAAAGCACCTCATTTACCGTCACAGTCCAAAATAATACACCTGGTACGTGCTTTATTGTACTCCTCCCAAAGAGACTTTCCATAACCTCACCGTCTTCAATTGAAAGTCTGTGGTTTGCAACTGCCTCTTCACTGCCTCTTCACTAAATGAATTAACAGTTAATATTACTGAACTGAAAGCACCTCATTTACCGTCACAGTCCAAAATAATACACCTGGTACGTGCTTTATTGTACTCCTCCCAAAGAGACTTTCCATAACCTCACCGTCTTCAATTGAAAGTCTGTGGTTTGCAACTGCCTCTTCACTGCCTCTTCACTAAATGAATTAACAGTTAATATTACTGAACTGAAAGCACCTCATTTACCGTCACAGTCCAAAATAATACACCTGGTACGTGCTTTATTGTACTCCTCCCAAAGAGACTTTCCATAACCTCACCGTCTTCAATTGAAAGTCTGTGGTTTGCAACTGCCTCTTCACTGCCTCTTCACTAAATGAATTAACAGTTAATATTACTGAACTGAAAGCACCTCATTTACCGTCACAGTCCAAAATAATACACCTGGTACGTGCTTTATTGTACTCCTCCCAAAGAGACTTTCCATAACCTCACCGTCTTCAATTGAAAGTCTGTGGTTTGCAACTGCCTCTTCACTGCCTCTTCACTAAATGAATTAACAGTTAATATTACTGAACTGAAAGCACCTCATTTACCGTCACAGTCCAAAATAATACACCTGGTACGTGCTTTATTGTACTCCTCCCAAAGAGACTTTCCATAACCTCACCGTCTTCAATTGAAAGTCTGTGGTTTGCAACTGCCTCTTCACTGCCTCTTCACTAAATGAATTAACAGTTAATATTACTGAACTGAAAGCACCTCATTTACCGTCACAGTCCAAAATAATACACCTGGTACGTGCTTTATTGTACTCCTCCCAAAGAGACTTTCCATAACCTCACCGTCTTCAATTGAAAGTCTGTGGTTTGCAACTGCCTCTTCAGCACGTACACTTGAAACAGAGCTGAGACCACGAGCTAGCAGGATTTCCTCCCTCTGACAAAAGACTTAATGATTATTATTATTGTTTCTTGCAGGAAGAGGGCGAGCTGATCGTGGAAGGTTTACTCAACATCTCCTGGGGCCTGAGAAGGCCAATCAGACTTCAGATGCATGATGACAATGAGCGCTTTCGCTATGCCTGCATGGGTGCGTGGAGGTCAGAGAGCCCAGAGTCCAGCAGGTAGGTGAAACCGGCCCAATCATGCTGCTACACCACACCCAGATGTGTGCTTTCCTAAATTAGGTCACAACCCCATCTGTTTCTCTCATTGACATAGACATCTCTATGCATAGGGCAGGTTGTATAATAGGTACTAATTTGTAGGTCAAATGGCTGCTGATTTGATTGTAGACAATGCAAATTGTCAACATACAACAAAGTAATACTTTTCATTTTAAATGTGATTCTATTGTAGCTGTACTTTTGTAGGTGTTAATGTCCTTTAATAGGGTTTCTGTGAGTCTTAAAACTTCTTTAAAAATCTTAAATTGCTTTTCTGGTAATTAAGCTCTTTTAAAAAGTTATAAATCAGAGCAGCTAGTCTTAAATTTATATGATGATGGCATTTATTTAGGTGAGGAATTGTTTCCTCGTGTCTTTCATTTTAAAGTGAAACCCAAGTGTAATTTCTGCAGTGATCATGGTCATTATTGGTGCCTTCAGTGTTCACCATTCATTCAGGTCATTATTCAGTATATCATTGTACATTGTAATTACAGATTTCCATATTGTCTTAAATCTGTGGGCTGCACATATTCATGCACTACCTGACAAAAGTCTTGTCTTCGATGCCAGTTGTAAGAGCAACATATTATTACTTGTTTTGTAGTTGATCATTTGGATTAGTGGCAGAAGGTTGATTTTTCATTTGTTGAACTGCATCCAAATCATCACAAATGCTGCAGAAGACCTATGAACCCGCATGGATTCAAGATTCTCACAGAAACCAGTCAAATTTGGTGAAGGAAGAATCATGGTTTGGGGTTACATTTAGTATGGGGGCATGCAAGAGATCTGCAGAGTGGATGACAGCATCATCAGCCTGAGGTATCAAGACATTTGTGTTGCCTATTTTTTTACAAACCGCAGGCGAGGGCAAAGTGCTCCTCATACTTCAGCCTCCACATCAATGTTCCTTCAAGCAAAGAGAGTCAAGGTGCTTTAGGATTGGCCAGCCCAGTCACCAGATATGATGATTATTGAGCATGTCTGGGATAAGATGGAGGAGGCATTGAAGATGAATCCAAGGAATCTTGATGAACTCTGGGAGTCCTGCAAGAACGCTTTCTTTGCCATTCCAGATGACTTTATTAATAAGTTATTTGAGTCATTGCAGAGACATATGGATGCACTCCTCTAAGCTCATGGGAGTCATACTCTATATTTATTCTTTTTCCACTACACCATACCTTTATATTCTATTCTGTTCATTATTACTGTTAAGTGACAGGACATTTGTCTAATCATAGTCAGAACTTATTGTTCTAATTAAATAATTAAAAATCAAGACAATCATATTTTATTTTGGTAAAATAAGTGTAATCTAGAGGCCTTTGCTTTTTATAAAAGCCACTTTTGATAACAAATGATCAACTATAAGTCAGGTTATTATTTGTTGTTCCTAAGACTTTTGTCAGGTAATGTATTTGTAAATCTTGTAAATCTGAGTTCGAGCAGGCGTCGGCTAGGGAGATAGTGTAGAGCTCGGTGTTCGGGCATTCCTTCTAAACCGCTCTTCCGATCTAAGAGAGTCAAGGTGCTTTAGGATTGGCCAGCCCAGTCACCAGATATGATGATTATTGAGCATGTCTGGGATAAGATGGAGGAGGCATTGAAGATGAATCCAAGGAATCTTGATGAACTCTGGGAGTCCTGCAAGAACGCTTTCTTTGCCATTCCAGATGACTTTATTAATAAGTTATTTGAGTCATTGCAGAGACATATGGATGCACTCCTCTAAGCTCATGGGAGTCATACTCTATATTTATTCTTTTTCCACTACACCATACCTTTATATTCTATTCTGTTCATTATTACTGTTAAGTGACAGGACATTTGTCTAATCATAGTCAGAACTTATTGTTCTAATTAAATAATTAAAAATCAAGACAATCATATTTTATTTTGGTAAAATAAGTGTAATCTAGAGGCCTTTGCTTTTTATAAAAGCCACTTTTGATAACAAATGATCAACTATAAGTCAGGTTATTATTTGTTGTTCCTAAGACTTTTGTCAGGTAATGTATTTGTAAATCTTGTAAATCTGCAAACATTTTGTATCATCTGCACATAGCAGATCTGTCATCTGTCACATAGCAGCTGATAGCAGTATGCAAAATGAAGACTTTCAACTGACCACCAGTGGCGTCATAGCGGAGTCCAGAAATTGATGTTAATTAGAAATGTGCTTACACATTTATTTTGTACTTCTTTAACATCACAAGATATGTATTTATAGCAACAGTTGACAGCACTGTTATAGTGGTCTTTAAGTACACAATGCTAGGTAGATCCTATGTGTTAGATTAGTTATTTTGTATTTTTACTTTGTTGTGTTGTGTTTTACATGTTTTGTTGTAACTTTGAAATGCTCTTCATGTGCTGCTTTGACATTATACAAAGTTCTCAACAAATTGCTGCATTATTTTGATTTCAAATTTATGTCCATAAATTGTCTTTCTTAAAGTTTTTTTAATAGTCTTAAATTCACCTTCATAAAACCAGCAGAAACCCTGTTTGGTCATTGTTAGAAAAGTTTTGAGGTAAATTCTGACATGTGATTTAAAGTGGGTGAAAATGGTGTGGTGCTGCTCTTTCACCAACAGACAAAATGAGAGCTTGGCTATTTATTATTGTCACATGCAACAATCATCTGCACCATGGAAATTTTAATCAGGTCTAATGCCCAAAGCTGCAGCCACCTTGATTTCCTAATGTGATCAAAATAATTCACACGTGCACATAAGAAGCTTATCATCGGAATAGCGGATCACGATCGGCAAGTCAGTTGTATTATTATATAGCATCACTGATATAACATTAAGTGGTATCTTTTTGTTGTTCTAATGAAGGATTAAAGTTATTTTAAATAGAAACTGCTTAAATGAAATGGCAACGAGTGATGCAATGAGTTTATTAATGTCACATTTCATGAATATTCTATAAAAAAAATACACTACAAAAGACTCATGTGATATACATATAATTGACTGTAATATTATGTGATATGCATCATAGCAAGAAAGAAAGCTTAAATCAAATGGCCTCCTAGAAATAAGGATTTAAAAGCTGTCATTGGGGTGGTGCCATTTAAAAAGGTACACTTTCGGTACTTGTTAGTACCTAGAGTGTACATATTAGTGTCTAAATCAGGGATGCCCAAACTAGGCCCACAGTGACCTTTGATTTGGCCCACCATCTTATCTGAAAAGAGAGGAATAATGATGGCCATGGTTTAGAGATTGCCGTTTCAAATCTAACGTAACCTTGTTTGTTTGTTTTATTGTTAAAAACTAATTAAAAAGAAATTAAATGTATTTAAAAAAAGAAATTAAATGTTTTTAAATAAATGGTGTAAATTATTCAGATTTAGTTTAAATGTACATACCATCACCCGACGCATGATTGACTAGTGTATTCAACATTGAACACTGTGTTATAAATGTGATTGTTTTTGTTTTTATTGCAATAAGTTTTCAATTTAAATGTTATACTGCTTTGGTTAAATGATTTACAGTAATGATTTCTATTTACTTTTAAGTCCTATTAAATAAATTAGGAAATTACCCATTGCAACTTTTATGTAATATACAATAGCTTGCTATATTTATCTTCGGCCCACGGCTCTCAATGATATTTGGCTTTTGGCCCTAGATACGAAAACGTTTGGGCAACCCCTGATCTACTGTAAAATGTACATTTTTAAATGTTACCTCCCAACCCAAGTCAGAGGTTTTGTACTTTGTTTTTGAGAGTGTGTAGAAAACAATAATGCTTTTTGATTGAAATTTAAATTAAAGTAATCTAATATTAAAGATATTAGATTACAAATATCTACAAATATTAATTACAAATTTGATTACTATGATTGTTATGAACTACTTTGATTTTTATTGCAGCGATTTAGTATGTTTCTGGTGTGTAATAATTTTGGTAATAGTTTTTCTTTTTTTTAACCTCATTGTGTGGTTTTAATTTCTTAAACAACAACCTTGGAGGACGTATCCTATAGTCATGTTCCGTTTATCGGCCTAAAATTGTGATAGATGGCTTCATTTTCACACAATAATTGGACAGCAATTGATCAGAAAGGCTAACATCAATGTTTGATGCCAAACTGTACTATCTACTTATGTTGTTGTTATTTACAGGAATGAAAACGCTAAACACCAGTTCTGTTCAGAGCCCAACAACAATAAAATAAGTGCCACAACTCTATCCAGTAAGTATAAAATTATTATATAATGAATGTCTCCACTCACATTTATTAAACTTATCAGAAATGTTGTTGATTTTATATGTCTAGTGGATAACATTGGTGGTTGTAATAGATAATCACAAATTTACCACGCATCTTTCAATGCCTCTTACCATCTCTTACTAAAATTAAGTATGCTTTTATTACAATAGAAGTGTAGCAACTATGTTTTGATGTTTTGGTTACTATTTGTATAACCACAGTTTAACTACAAATATCATGGTTAATCTTCGGTTAGTGTAGCAAAAGTATCATTAATTTGTAGTTCCAATGGTTTAACTGCAAAAACCAAAACGTCTCCGCTGTTCTCCTGCAGATGTGGATGGAGTTGAGGAGGACATTCCTCAATTGCTGAGAACAAGAAGTGATGCCAGCTTTGTGAACATCCAAAGAAGATCCAAACTCCACAGCATTTCTGATTCCCAGCGGATAAAGAGACACCGGTTCTCCATCAATGGCCATTTCTATAATCACAAAGTAATTAAAACAAAACCTCTGTGTTCATTTTACTTTAATATATAAGCTGAAGTTAGCCTTTGTGCACTTGAACTGTGAATAGCTATTAAACTGTCACTTAGTATACAGCAGGGCAGCGTCTCAGGCGGAAGGCAGGGATGAGTTAAGCTTAAGTTCAGGAAAATAGTACAATAGAAAGACAGCACGCCTTGTGCTTGGCAAGGGGCCTGATGCTCTCATAAAGTGCCACAGCAGCATCTGTGAAGGGAAGTGTCCTTCGTCCAAGTGTTTATGTTGTACATCAGTCTTATGAGTTGGATGCAGGTGTTGAGAGGCAGTGTTTTCCTGTTCAGGCCTTCCCTTTGGCTGAAACATGTGCTTTTATTATATCTGCTGTCAGCTGCCTCTCTCAGAATGGTCCTCGAAGGTCATGTAAGTTGGCCTGGTCCTTTTGCAGATGTGCACAAGATTATTTATAGGGACTGTTGATAGATGTGTAGAAAAGTATTCAAATTTAAAATTGAGTCATAATTTACTCACTCTTGTGTTTTTTTAATTCTATATGCACTTTATTTTTTGTACCAAAAAAGATGCATATTGTGCAACCAGCATTAAACTTTAGGAAAAGAACAGTCTTAAGAGACACACAATTAAATTCAAGTTTATTTGTATAGCGTTTTTCACAATATTTATCTTTTATATAATTATATTGTATATTTAATGGGTTCTGTGGATTTTTACAGCACCCGTACAATGCTTAACTGCAAATTATTATTGCTTTAAAGTGAACAAACTGTCTGATACATAAATCTGAATGAAGATTTGAATATGTCACCATTTTTCTCAGTAAACATATTTCGAAAGGTGCCGTTGACTTGAAATTTTCCCCCACAAGTTTATAACAAAGAAATCCATATATGCAAAGAAAACAAATCTAATTAGTTTAATTAATGTATGCCTAATTAAATGAAATGACATAGGGAAAAATATTTTAAACACATAAGAAAAGGAGGTGTAGAAAGGCAGTGAAAACCCAGACAGCATATGAAATCTCTCAGTGGTTATTCAGAAACCCTCTTCCCTTCCTCATTGTAAATAAGCATTAGCTGCTTCAGTCCAACATCTACATTATCAGGATGATGAAAATGAAACCAGGGTGGACATTTCAGCAAGAAAATGATCCAAAACACAGCTAAGGAAACTCTCAAATGCTTTCAGAGAAAGAAAATCAAGCTGTAGAATGGCCCAGCCAATCACCTGACTTGAATCCAATAGAAAATACCTAATAAAGATCAGATTTGATAGACGAGACCCACAGAACCATCAAGATTTTTACACTTCTGAGCAATTCATGTGATTTCATTCTCCATATGGGAGACATCTTTAAGCTGCCATCACCAAAAATCCTTTTATGTAAAGTATTAAATATGTTTTTAGTTGTTCAGTGCTTTCTTCTTGTGTCATTTAATTGTTATTACACATAATTGCTAATGTTTCAGATTTTTGTTTTGTTTTATGTTTGTATTGTTTGGGTTTTTATCTAAATCTGGTCCAATTCTATGTCAACAGCACTTTTAGAAATATAATTCGCAGAAAAAACATGATGTTGCAGTACTTACTTTCTGTAACTGTCTATTTTTTGTTAATTGTCAATTTTATAAATTTTCTTTTTCCAAATGTCATTTGCCAGGTTGTGGTACTGCATAAAATGTTAAACATTCACAGTAAAGAAAGTGACAGTTGTTCATTAAGTGATCTCCGTTTTTACAGACATCAGTTTTTACTCCATCATATGGGTCGGTGACTAATGTGCGAGTGAACAGTAATTTGACCACACAGCAAGTTCTGAACCTGCTTCTTAATAAGTTTCGGGTGAGTTTTTCCTTATTTGATTGAATAAGATGAACTTGTACTTTTGGTGACTATACCTTGTTCTGTATGTCTGTACAGGTTGAGAATAAAATAGATGAGTTTGGTCTCTACCTAGTGCATGAATCAGGAGGTAATGCTTTTTTAGGTTCACTGTTATTTTTTTAATAAAAATAAATGGGTCACTTTATGTTGATGGTCCATTTGTTACATTGCATCTACATGTCAACTAATTCTCATTAGATTATAAGCAGACTGTTAGGTTAGGGTTAGGGTTAATGTAAGTTGACATGTGCTTGCAAAGTGTCTTATAGCCAGTTAAATGTCTGTTAAAGGAGCAGTATCAACAGATATTAAGCAGACAGTTGAATACTTAAATGGGCCATCAAAATAAAGTGTTACCAGTAAAAGTCATTTATTGCAACATGAAGGACAGCCACCAGTAAAATGTGCCACAGTAACAGTGATTGAACTTAATTGAAATTATAGTTAATTTTTTTCTACCTTTTGTTTACAGAGAGAACAAAACTCAAGGATACAGAATATCCTTTAGTATCTCGCCTGCTGCATGGTCCATGTGAAAAAATTGCCAGAATATTTATAATGGAAACAGACCTTGGGGAAGAGATTACATATGATGTGAGTATTCCTGTAGATTTCAGAGTTCACAATAGGTCATTCAGAACGTGCTTCCCCTGACAAACTGACGTTCTGTTGTACAAATATCAAATATAGATACAGGAAACAATAATGTTACTTCCAGATGCTACATAACATGTCTAATTTTAGGATTCTGTCTAGGACGATAACAATGGTACAATTTCTATTTCAGACTATTTCTTTGTTGTAAGATGAAAATGCTGCATAAATTCTATGTGCTATTAAGCATTATTTACTTGTATTTCATTGGTTAACGCAATAATGAATTATCTTTCAGGTTGCACAGTATATTAAGTTTGAAATGCCTGTTTTGGACAGTTTTATCAAGAAACTGAAAGAGGAGGAAGAAAGAGAGATTTTAAAACTGACAAGAAAGTAAGGCATAAGGGTTTCTTTATTTTTATAACAACATAACAATATATTATTTTTAATCTTCATTGTACTTTTGTTTTTTTACAGATACCGCATGCTGAAGTCAGTGATATTGCAGAAATTGGATGGCATCTCTGAGAATGCAAGTTATGTGTGAGGAAAATGTGCTGAGATTAGAGGCTTTTTCTCTGTGTTTGAGCCACAGGCTGATAGCTTTTAGGTTGGTTTTTGTATTCTTAATCAGTGCAATAACTAGTGTATGGGAAGTATAAGGTACTAGTAACTATGTTTTCTTGAGAAACTACTATTAAAGCTTCTTCTGAGGCTAAATTTCTAAATACAATAAACTGCTGGAAACATGCTTACAATGCATGTTAAACCTGCTTGTATAATGGTTATTTATGTTAGCATATAAACCCTTTTTACATTTCCAGGTTTCTCAGCAGAAGTTGTTATAGTTGGGTAAACTTAATGGGGAAAGAATGAAAGAGTACAACAATTTTTTTTTTTTACTTTTTTGCTGAAATATTGAAAGAAAAAAAAATCATGATGGTGTAATCAAGACTTTCTGAAAAAGAAAAAAAATGTGTAAGACTGATGAGGGCAGTCAGAAGAGAGAATAACATCAAATGTACTCTCAGCCCCATAGACGCTGCATTAGAAACACCCAAGCGCTTATTCATTTTTGTTATTTGATGCAAAGATGATATACATACATAAATACATATAAATGTTCATACATTTTTTTTAATCTAGACATTAAAAACTTTCAAGGATTTAAGATTAGCATGACCGTTAAATGCATCATAACAATCTTGTGAAAAGGGTCCATTAGTCAACTTGCTAGAAAGCATGTTATTAATATGCTAATTCATGTTAACAATGTGTTAAAACATACCAGAAAACGCAATCTGGTAAAACATGTTAGAGAAATGCCAGTAACATGCTAATGCAAGCATGTGCTAGAAACATTCATAGGTTTCTTTCTGTACACTTCACTTTAACTTTTAACTTTAAGCTTACAAAGTTTTTAAACTTTCTTAAGCCAACATAAAAGTTTGTCCCAACTACTATTTAATTGTAACTTTACTGCTGTAAGTACTTTTACCTACAATTCTCAGGCATTCAAATTACCTAGAATGTTCTTTTATGATGCACTTGTGATTTTAAAAGACAAACTGTTGTATTTTTATTATTTTATCCTATACAATAATCAATAATTATTGATTATTTTATTCATGTAAAAGTATAGAATGTTATTTTTAGCATATTGATTACTAGTTGAATAAACAGTTTTACCACAAATACCTTGGTTAGACTATGGTTAGTAATGGTTTATTTATTTAAAAATAAAGTGTTGTAAAAGCCAAGGTTAATTTGTTTAAGGGATGTTAAACTTAGAATATATACTCACCTGACAAGTTACAATATTACCTTTTATACGTTTTCAAAAATAAAATTAATATATAAGGAATTGTGTTAGCTTGGTCTCTTGGTATCATGTTTTGCAATCATGCAGTGCTATAGAATATCTCATTTATGACTCCTTAAATAAATTTTTGAGAATTTTGGGGCATGATCTTAATATTTCAAATTGCTTGTGAACACAGTTTATTACAAAACAATCGCACAGAGCTAAAGTTCATCATCCCAAATCATTGTTTTATTACTTGAGGAAAAAAAATACAGTTTCCGCTATGTTCACAATGAGCTTTTCTCATTGTTTAGTGAGTGACCCCTGCTCTGCGCCAGTTCCCACGAGCCATAAAAGCTCATGCTATTGAGAAAAGACATGAAGTCAGTGCCTTCTGGCTTCAGTGCCCATGTTGCACAGTGGGAGGCATCCTGGGAACAAGGAACATTACATTACATTACTTGAGGTGGTTCCCATTTCCTGAACAAGATCAAGAAGAAGAAAAAATAAACCGTGCTTGTGTACAGTTAGTCATTCTATGATATGGGGCACAGTATTGATGTGAATGTATTAGCTATAAATGTATATTGTACATGCAAAATCAAGCTAAATTTTGCCAATTCCTAATCACTTCATTCTCAAAAGCTAGTGATGGATCATTTTTAAGGCATGGTAATAAAACAAAATGACTAATTCAGTTGCTTTATAATAATAAAACAAATTCAGATGCACATAATTATTAAGCAGCCTTTATTTTAAAGGCCAAATGGCCCATAAACATGATTAAAAGCTCAATATTGGTGGCATTTATGTTAATTAATGAATTACTGTAGTACTGCATCCTTCAGTTCATGTTGCATCTCAGTTTTGGGCCATTTCGCTTGTAAAAGAGAATTTACGGTATAAATGCACATCAGAATATGGCTATTTTCACTTTCAGCCCCCATTAACAATTATACATCTATTATTAATGAATTATATACAACATAACAGTTATAAAGTTGGATGGGGCTTGGAACTGGTAAAGTATTATTGGTAAATGGTATGCTCAGAATATTGACTTGTATAGTGTACACTCAGTAAAAATGTAACAGTATAGTGTAATAATTGTTTTAAATGAATTTGTGTTTAACACTGAAAGTATTATTTGTAAATGTATAAATGTTTACCAGGGGTGGCCAAACTTTTTCTTATGATGGGCCAAAACCCAAACTTGATTTAGGCTAGTTGGAGGAAGGTAAATACAGTTGCCATGGGCAATTTCCTATTGTATTTAATAATGTTTAAAAAGTACTAGAATACATTGCTCTATATTAATTAATACAGTATATATATTGTATTTCATAACAAACTTATTACAGTGAAAACAAAAACAATCTCATTTATAACATTGAGTTACACTAGTTTTTGCCTTGATTTGCTCGTTGATGCCTTCAGCATAGTCCTCTATTTGTTATGTTACAGTATAAACAACCTCAGATTCATTTATATTTAATTAAAACATTTCATTTCTGTGTGCTTTTTTTGTAGCTCTGCAATAAAACATCAAAAAGGTTACGTCAAATTAGAAATGACGATCTCTGTTAAGGGTTTTTATCCCAACCCTCTTCATCATTCTCAGATAGGATGGTGAGCCAAATCAAAGGTTACAATGGGCCAACTTTTGCCCGCTGGCCCTTCTTTGGGAATCTGATTTATACAGAATTTGTATTTTAGTAACTTTTTAAAACAGCAAAATAGGCCGCTATGCACCCTGTTAAAGAAATAGATTATTTACTCCCTTAATTTAGAAAAATCTGCAGTTTACACTTTCAAATTGTTTTGTTGCTAACAAGCTGTTGCCAACAAAGCAGACTGATGGCATTCTATGAACAGTGTAAATAAGAATATAGTGCCCCCTTCTGGCCAAAAGGTTACAGCTGTGTTCGGCATATCATGAAAGATTAAACTATTTTATATAGTTAGTGCTCTAAAATGTTGTTTAAACATGTAAATATTTTTTATTATTTGCATATAGGCTACCATAATTTGCTTACATTTATAGCAGGGTTATGTCTTTAGGTTTAAAATAACGTAAATAAACTCATAATATGCTTTTCTATGTGAATTGCCAACGCATTTTCTTTTCTTGTGCGGCAGAAATTACCTTTTAGTCCCATAAATCGACACATTTGTGAAATTGATACAATTCTTACTATGACAATAAACGACTGCTGGTGGAATTATTTGGGGGAAGTATTAATAGCAAAAAAAAAAAACCCTATTAAATTATTTCAGAACGTCGGCAAATGTTAACGGAAACCATGACTTCCGGTCTATATCGGAAGCTCTTTTTGCAGTGAGTGAAAGCTGACCTACTGTACCGTAAAAAAATTTCCATTCCATGGAGTCTCGCAAAGTATTTTGTGTTTTTGAGACAAACGTCAGTGACGTTTACATTAGGGTCAAGTTCAGTTCACATGACATGTGGGAGGAGCGTCGAGTTGAAGACTAAACGTTTCTTTCAGTCCTCCATGTCTGTATCCTGAACGAATGGATTCAATGGCTCAGCGTCCAGACCGTGATTCTCAGATATTTATAATAGGATGCGGCATCTCAGGAATCGGTGCTGCTCAGAAATTAATCAAACACGGTTTTCATAATGTACGCATTATAGAAGCAACTGCAAGAAGCGGTGGGAGAATACGAACGGGCAGACTGGGTAAGTTATGTATAAAGTATTTTTTAATATCAACCACAATCTGTATTTATTCTGTTGACGTTTTGCTTTTGTATGGTCATTTTCATTGTTAAAATGTCATTGGATGACTCGCTATACTCTCATCATTGTCAAAGGCCTACACGAAAATGTGTTATATGCTATCTGTAATGATGCTGATAATCAGCCTTTCTGTAATAACGTGGTTTGCATGAATCAAGAGATTCAGTTGGCGGAGCATAAAGTGTTTATATTAAATATGGCGAGATAGATAGATAGATAGATAGATAGATAGATAGATAGATAGATAGATAGATAGATAGATAGATAGATAGATGCTGTAGGTAGATTTTGCAGAGCATTTATAACATGACGTTAGATCATGAGGGGCATTTTTATTTAAAAAAAAAAAGGCTTTGAGCGACTGGTATGTGTGTCACTAAGGTTTTAAGTTAAAGTCCATTTTCTTTAACAAGTGAACCCAATAAAACGCAATGCATACAGGCAAGGGTCAACTATATGATGAAAGTACAATTTCAAAGTACAGTTTGGGCAAGGTGTTACAAGGGCTGTACAGTTTTATCATTTATGAACTACAGTATTTCTTGGCCACGCATTTATATATTGATTGAGGGAAAGTTGGTTTTATATTGACACATTTGTTCTTTTTTTGAACTTTGACAGCTTCTTTATATTGTTCACCAAGATACTTGGAATATTGGGTCTGAAATCGCACTTAAGCATGACTTCAAAACATTGGCACTATTTAAATGACTGTGAACAATGTTGTACTTTGATAGTCGTTGGCTGCTAATATGATTTTACTATTTATATTTTGCAAATAATACTTTTCTGAAATTATATTATTAATGAGAAATTACAAATGTGTGAATATAAAACCAACTTTATCTTAATTACATGTTGCCATAAGAGGTCAATGCACGTTCAATGTGCAATATTCAGTAGAATATTATTGTGTCATCCACCTCTGGGCTTCTTAATAGATATAATTCATATTTATTTATTTATTTTTGTTCAAGGTGATAACATCATAGAGATCGGTGCCAACTGGATCCATGGCCCGTCGAAGGAAAACCCAGTGTTCCGTTTGGCATGTGACTATCAGCTCCTAGATAAAGAGTCGATGTCTGAAGAAAACCAGGCCATTGACATTGGGGGTCATCCTCTGTTTGTTCCCAACTGGTTTACCAGTTCAGGTCGGAAACTGGGGCCTGAGACTATGGGCCCAGCGCTTGAGTTTTTCATGACATTACTGGAAAGGAGCCAGCAGTTCCACAGCACCGGTGGAGAACCTCTGCCGAGTGTTGGAGAGTTCATCAAGGCAGAAGCTGAACGTCTGGCCCCAGAGGAGTGGAAGGAGGACAGAGATAACTTTGCAGTGAGGATGGCCATGATAAACACACTCCTCAAACTGGAGTGCTGTGTCAGCGGAACACACACCATGGATGATGTTGGTCTAGGAGCATTTGGCATGTATACAACTCTTCCAGGACTTGACTGCACTTTCCCAGGGTGAGTTTCTGTGCCTTTTTTTTGTCATTTTGAAATGTGTCCTTGAAAGGCACTATATAAGACAAACTCTATTATTGTTGTTGTTGTTGTTGTTGTTGTCCAGTTCCAACAGTGCTTTCTTGAGTCTTGTAAACTAAATTTGTTCAATGTGTTTTTCCCTTAGAGGTTATGAAGGTTTGACTGATCACATGATGAAGGAGCTTCCCCGAGACATAGTCTTATACAACAAGCCTGTAAAGTGCATTCACTGGAACTACACCAAGAATGGGCCCAACACTGGAGGAACGTCATTCCCAGTTACGATTGAATGTGTTAATGGAGAAACATTTGCAGCAGATCATGTTATTGTCACAGTTCCACTTGGTGCGTATAGTAGATTCAGCTTGAATTGTTGACCTAATGAACTATTCTTGAATCTAATTGAATCTAATTTGAGCAAAAAAGCTAATGTTCTGGGCGAGGCAGTGGCGCAGTAGGCTATACTTGTTTCAGTGTTACACTGAATGATGATGGACATTATTTCACTGACATTTTATATATATTTTTTTAAGAATTGTTATTTAAAACATTAAAGTTGATAGTTGCACTTAATATTTTTGATATCTATGTAAAATCAATTATATGAATTTGATTCGGACAGCAAAACTCTGTCTTTGATACATGATCTGTATAAAGATTTTTATTATAGTTTATGACTTAATTTTTTACAAAAAAATAATAATTATGATTAGGGCTGGGCAATTAATTGAAAAGTAATCGATATCGACATTCAGAACCTGTAATCGATCAAATTTTTCCTGGTCAATTTTTTCAGTTATTTTCTTTACTGCGTATTTTCCCTACATGTCACCTCGCTCGGGTAAGGCTGATTTATACTTCTTTGTCTAATGGTCCGGTGCAGGCTTCGTGCGTTCAAATACCTGCATACCTTTCAAAAAATGTAACTACACATCACACATTTGCACTACATTGACGATGATTGGAAGCTGTGCCAGAGATGCTTTGAGACGGCATATTTTCTATTGCAATAAAATTAATATTAACATTAAAATATTTGTTTACAGAAGATTTAAGAAATACACTGTTTAAAATATTATTACAAGATATACAAGAGTATTAAGAAAAGATGTTGCTTATTTTCTACTTTTTTTTTTTCATAAAAAACGCTGAAAATCATTTGTTTCGTTTCCAAAAGTGCAAGTTATTTATTTTCACTTTTTATAGGATAAAAGTGACTGTTTGTTTTAGGCAGTGTGTGTTATCAGTTGTTCAGCGTTGATGGTCTCCCTTCATTTAAAAGTCTTTCACTTGTAATGTGTGTGCATATTTACTGTACATAACTTGTCAGTGAACTATGAGGGCAAAAAAATTAATAAATACAAAAATAAAATAATCGTTCGTTAATCGTAATCCAGTTAAAATGTTCAATTAATCGTGATTTTGATTTTAGGCCAAATCGCTCAGTCCTAGTTATGATAACCTTTCTTTCTTTTTATTTTTTGCAGGATACATGAAGAAGCATCAGAACACTTTTCTGAGTCCTTCTTTTCCACTGCACAAACTACACTCCATTCAGAGAATGGGCTTTGGGACGAACAACAAGATCTTTGTTGAGTTTGAGCAGCCTTTCTGGGATGAAGACTGTGAACTTATTTACCTTGTATGGGAGGACGAGACCCATCTTACTGATGTTGTTTCTGATTTGAAGATGTCCTGGATTAGGAAGTTGACTGGGTTCACTGTGCTGAAGCCCACTGAAAGGTAACACTCTTTAGGAATTTCCTTCAATACTGCAAATTAAAGGTTTATCAAACCCCTAAATGAAAATATGCTGTAATTTGACTTACCCACAGGCTACCCAAGAGTTTATTTTCAAGTAGAACAGTAGAGAAGAGATTTAGCTGAATCTGTAGTCCTTCTTGGTGATTTATATAATGCAAGTCTACAACAAATATATACAGACAAAATTAAATTAATACTTGTCACTACTTTGAGATCTCAAAGGGATAGATCACCTAAAAATTGTAATTTTGTCATAATTTACTCATGCTTTATATTCTTTTGTTGAACACAATATATATTTGAGGAAAGCTGGAAAACTGTAACCACTGACTGCCATTGTGTTTTTGTTTTTAAAAGGAAGTCAATTGTTACATGTTTCCAACATTTTTTCCAAATTATCATCTTTTGTGTTCAGCAGAAGAAAGAAGATCATAAAAGTGTGCAACCAATTAAGGGTGTGTAAATAATAAGCATTTCCCTTTAAATTAAACAATTAGTTAATGCAGCCATATTTGGAACATTATTACCCTCAGGGAACAATGTTTAAATGTGGCATTACGCTACGGAAAGTTTGTCCTCCAGAATGTGATAAACACACTTAGAAATGAGCTGGGGCTGTTGGAAAAATTATCAATGTAGTAAAAAAACATTCGGTTTCTAGCACAGAATGAACATTTAGCTTCATAAGATCTCATAGAATGTATTGTTTTTTGGCGGGGCTCTCATAGTGGAGGTAGCCATTGACTACCTCCAAGCATCATATGAATCATTAAGTACCACAATTTCAGTTAAAAATTGATTAAAATGTTCTATTGAAAAAAGTCACCTATCGTTGAAGTCAGAATTATTAGCCCCCCTGAATTATTAATCTCCCTGTTTATTTTTTTCCCCCAATTTCTATTAAACAGAGACTAGATTTTTTTCAACACATTTCTAAACATAATAGTTTTATTAACTCATTGCTAATAACTGATTTATTTTATTTTTGCCATGATGACATTAAATAATATTTTACTAGATATTTTTCAAAACACTTCTATACATCTTAGTCACATTACAAGGCTTAAATTTGACCTTAAAATGTTTTTTTTATTTATTCAAAACTGCTTTTATTCCAGCCGAAATAAAACAAATAAGAGTTAAAACAAAATATTATTAAATATACAGTAAAAAATTTCCTTGATCTTTTAAACATTATTTGGAAAATATTTTTAAAAAGAAGAAAAAAATCAAAGGGGGATAATAATTCTGACTTTAACTGTACATCTTGGTTGATCTGAGAATAAATGAACAGCAGTCGGCAATATATGTTATTGTAATGTCATTTTTTAGTTGTACTATCCCTTTAAACTATTATAAGTATGATGTTGTACAGATTTGGACATGTGCTCTGTGGATGGATCGCAGGGCAGGAATCGGAGTACATGGAATCTCTGTCTGAACTAGAAGTGCTGCAGACTGTCACACAACTCCTTCGCATATTTACTGGTAATATTTTTACTTTTTTATCCCAAATTATTAGATATAGTCTAAAAATCTTGAGAGCACATTCAGAATGAGCAACGCATTTTGTAAAAGAAAATAAGTACATTTGTGACTTAACCACAAGTAAATAAAATAAAATCACTTTAATAAGTAATTGGCGGGCGGTTCTTTCCGCTTTGGCGACCCCCTGATAAATTGGGGGCCAAGTCAAAGAAAAATGAATCAATATAATAAAGATTATAAAACATACAATTTCAATAGCTTGTTGAATCTTTTTAATTTTCAGGAAATCCAACTATTATGCCAAGGAAGCTGTTACGATCTCAATGGTTCCATGAGCCCTATTCCTGTGGATCTTACTCCTACGTGGCCAAAGGTTGCTCAGGATATGACATCGATAACCTCGCTGAACCCTTGCCGTTGAAAGGCTCCAACTCAAAGGTTTTCAATTGCTTAGCCATTACACTTCTTATTTTATCAGCAACGCCAACCTGATTTTACCAAGTAGGACATGTTCCTGCATTAATATCGATGTTGTTCCTGGAATAACATTACAATCAGCCAATCAGAATTAAGGGATGTGTTTACAATTTATGTTTAGGCTTACGGTTGGGTTTATGCACTTCTACAGAATTGTTATCCAGCTACCCTCTGATTTTGGGAATAATTTACAGTTATGGTTGGGTTTGGTGGTATGGATTGCATTTTTAAACAAATATGGTGTTCTGGGATTAACATCGATGTTAATCCAGGATTGCATCGTACTTGGTAAAATCATGATGTGCTTATGGGCAATAAACAGGAATTTTCATCATTAACTTCCATTTAATTATTAAATGATGATTCTTTCTTGTACAATACAGTAAATGGTACTTTGCGTTTGCAGCCTTTGCAGGTGTTATTTGCAGGAGAAGCTACACACAGGTCTTTCTTCTCTACGGTGCATGGAGCTTTACTCAGTGGCTGGAGAGAGGCAGAGCGTCTGATATCTCACCACACTTCTGCTTCTGGATCATTCTCATCTAAACTGTGAATGCTGTCCTCGTCTGGAAAGATTGCCCTTTTCATTGAAACTGAAAGGGTTTGTACCTTAAAATCGTCAGTAAAGGATTATCCGGATGTAATGAATGACTGCTTGGCAATTGTCCCAATGCCTTTGCAAAAATATAAGTGGGTATTTAAAAATTTCAGTAACGCTTTACACTGAAGTTGCATTAGTTAACATGAACAAACAGTGCACGGCGATACAGCATATATTCAAATACAACAATGCTCATTTCATTGTTACTAATCATGGCCTAATCAAAAGTTGTAAATATACACAGGGCTTTTTCCTGGCTCAGAATAAAGCAGAGGGGTATCCTGATTGTGACATTTTTGCTACTTAAAACGAACACATTTTGCATTATTTTAATATTATCAAGTAACATTATCTTATTTTAAAAAGGCTAATGTTAAATGTAATGAAATACATGACCACTGCTTGAGCATCACTTGGGGACTGTTGGTAGCCATGACTTTCTGCCTGATATATTTTATATAGATTAAAATGTTATCTATTTACAGTTGAGGTCAACATTATTAAACCCCTTGAATTATTATCGCCCCTGTTGATTTATTTTTTTCATCAAGTTTTTGTTTAATGGAGAAAAGATTTTTTTAACACATTTCTAAACATAATAGTTCTAATAACTCATTTCTAATAACTAGTTTCTCTTATCTTTGCCATGATGACAGTAAATAATATTTTAATAAATATTTTCCAAGACACTTCTATACAGTACAAAGGGATATTTTAAGGCTTAACTAGGTTAATTAGGTTAACTAGGCAGGATAGGGTAATTAGGCAAGTTATTGTATAATGATGGTTTGTTCTGTAGACTATCAAAAAATATATGGCTTAAAGGGGCTAATAATTTTGACCTTAATGTTTTTTTTTTTTAATAAAACAAATAAGACTTTCTCCTGTAGAAAAAATATCAGACATACTGTGAAAATTTTCTTGCTCTTAAAATTCATTTGGGAAATATTTAAAAAAGAAAGAAGATTTCAAAGGGCAGCTAATAATTCTGATTTCAACTTTATATATTAGTTCATGTTAACTTTTGCAACAAATGAGGCCTTATTTTTGTGTTACCAAATGCTAGTTGTTGTTTCTGTGATCTGAAAATAATTTATATATATTAAACATATTTTCTCATAATACTTTTTGTGTGTTTGTTTAAATTTTCTCAATTGTCTTGTGTTAAAAACGTAATCAGTACAATATAATTGTTTATCATAAATATTTAAACTTACTGCAATATATTCATACATAATAATAGAAGATAGTGTTTGGGTTATAAATAATTGAAAATTGATTGTAACCAGAATTAAACTGTAAATGTTAAACAGACATTCAAATAGTTTTTATTTGTATATTTAATGGCACAAACTATTGTGCAGAACGAATGTACGGTCACATTTTAGTGTATGCAGCTTTGCATTGTTATTTATCATGAGTAAAATAAGTAATAGATTTAAGTGAATTTTTTAAAGTGAAACTAGTTTCAAGAGGATTGTGTTTATGATTGACCACAGCTGGTCCTGCATTAGCTACTGCATTATCCACCAATCAAATGATTCATAGCTCACTATAAATAACAAAGTTTCTTACTTCAGTCATTTTCTTGAAGAATCCCCCCTTCCACCCCTACTTCTCCTTTTTTCCTGATAGGGTGACATGGCGGTCCAGTGGTTAGTACTGTTGCCTCACATCAAGAATGTCACTGGTTCAAGTCCCTAGAGTTTACATGTTCTCCCCATGTGACATAGGTGAAATGATCAAATCAAATTAGTACCATAGACAAACTCTTAATCAGCAGTATATCTCCATATAGCAATCCCTAATTTGTCATTAACCATAAATAAGCTGGGGAGTTCTTGAGACCTACCTGAGCTTTAATTCCCCCCTCGCTCTGGAAACTAGAGAGAGAACCATGGGCATGGGACAGCATGCCTAACAGGAAAACTGGAAGTAAAAACTGTTCTTGACTATTATATATTTATTGCCTTGTATTTAAAATTCCATGAAATATGGACCACTGTACACAAAGTACAATTATATTTATTTAAAAATTAAGTAATGTAACAATTTTTCATAGATGTTACCCAGTGATAGGTTGCAGCTGGAAGGGCATACGCTGCATAAAACATATGCTGAATAAGTTGGCAGTTCATTCCGCTGTGGCGACTCCAGAATATTCAAGGGACTATGCCGAAAAGAAAATTAATGAACGAATGAACAATTTTTCTGCATTTGCTTTGTAGTTTGCATAAACCACTGTACATATATTATAATTACTTTATAATATGGATATTTTAACCCACACAAAACATATTTATCATAGCTTAAACGGTATAGGTATAAAACGTATGCCTACTTATTATTGTTCTCCATCCCGCGCAGTAGAGGGCGGTGTGCCCAAAAGTCACTGCT